AGAGTAATGTAAGAAATATTTGATCTGTATTTGGTTTAACCAGGCAGTACTGTTTCACTTGAAACAGTAATTCTGCTCTTGATCTTTTTTTCCTAGGCTATACTTGATCCCTCAGCTAAAAAAATAAATGCATTTATAATACATTGGTTAAGCAAAAATCAACAAAAAATTTGGCATTTTTTGCTGTTTAAAAAGCCTTTTATTTAAGTTTGAACTTAAAAGCCTTTTATTTAAAATTGAAATTTAAATTCAAAAACAACTCTTCTATCTTATAAGTCTTACAGAATTGTCTTGGTACCAAGGTCATACTGAATTAGAAATTAATTATGAAGAGCAAATTATTTGTGGGTCAATTTAGCCCCTTTGTCTTGCATGTAATAACTTCATTGTTGCCAACATAAAGCAGATATTCTCCCTGCATACATTTTCAATCCGTGAGTTAACACTGCCATTTAAACAACTATTTTAATTATCAGTTATTTCTGTTGTCACTGACTGCATTAGGTATGTGATCTGCATAGCAAAGGCAAGTATTTGAAAGGAGGAGACTAGGCATTTTCAGGTGTGTGTATGACTACAGTACAAACAGAATAAAAAACTTATATTTTTTCAGAGCATTCTTACAAATCAAAACCACCTGTATAAACACAGTAGAATGGATACAAGTTACAAATATATTTAATTCAACATAGTATTAAAAATGATCCTTTATTACCTAACCAGTTCTATATTAAAAGAGTTGCAAGCAAAATCTTGCTGAAATTTTATATTTTGTCATTAAAATGTAAGCAAGCTTTTACCAACTGCACCATATACAAATCAGTGAATGATCTTAAACAACCGCTACTTAACCTGCAATTGTAAATTTAAGGGAAGTAATCACAAAGCAATAATTTCAGGCAGCAACGCCTTGCTTCAAGGTCTCACTTTGTAAGCAGACAGCCAAGTGAAAACCTGCTGCCTTCACTCACAGCTGCAGACTTGAAATCAGACACGTCCTTCAGAGGGGCTGGTAAACATGTTTCCAAATACTTGCTTTGAAGAACATCTACAGTTTTTTCTTGCTCACTTTCACAACTTAATCAGTGGACAATTTTAAATAGTTAAAGTTTAAAAATTAAGTCACTACCATAGCCAGCTGTATCATAAGAAGCATTACACAGACTTGAACTCTTACAGCAAGATAAATATATAACCGTAAAGGCAAAACAGGCTTTGTCATATATGGTGTGATATTCCAATACATGCTTCAATTTCCAAACCACATTTCTCTGGGGACAGGAATGAAGGGGTATAAAAATAACTTCTTATGAACACACTGAAAAACCTAGAGTAAGACTGTTGAAAAGGTACTGTATAAATACATAAACAATTTTCTGAAACATAGTATAAATAAATAGAACAATTTAAAAGCATAAGGAAAACTCAATACAGCACAAGGACTTATGCATCACTACACAGAATGCAAAGAGAATGCAAAGCTCCTGTTTCTTCCTTTGCTATACTCTTTAAGCGCATCCTGTCCTACATCAAGTAAAAAAAATCAGATTTTAACTGAAATACCTAATGGCCTTTGTTAGAGTGAGGGAGAAGTTTAAAAGATAAGAAGTTCTCTTATCTTCCTGATGATTACACATAAAATATATCAGTATTTAAACATTATAGACAGGTGGCTTCAATAATTTATTCTCTTCAAAATTATGATTTTCACACATGATCTGATGATTCTTGATCACATGACGTTCATTCAGTGAAACAGTTCTTGTGTATCAAATCAGTAGTGTATCCTACTCCACAGATAGGAGCTTACAAAAATTGAAGTCACAGTCTCTGTAGCAATCTTTTCATCAAACACATGACAGTCCAACAGGGAAAGTTCATTGGCCCAGTACAGATCATAAAAATATAGCCTCATTTAACAGTCACACTGTCTGAAATACAACCTCAGCATTTTGGTGCATAAAGACACTAGAAAATGTTTCACAGGGAAAACAAACAGTGAAAAAGCTACTTATTATAGCAAAGAATATTCAACACACTTTAACTCTAGTTCTTCCATGAAACACAAAAGAAAGAGAGCCCTGTGTGGTGTGTATTTGCAAGTTGAACATGGTCAGCAGTGTCCTGGCAGCCAGGAGGGCCACTCATGTCCTATGGGACATCAGGGACAGCATGGCCAGCTGGGCAAGGGAGGGGACTGTCCTGCTCTGCTCTGGGGCAGCCTCATCTCTAGTGCTGGGGGTAGTTCTGGGTGTTGCAGTATAGGAAAGATATAAAGATATTGGAAAGTGTTTAAAGCACGGGCACAAGAATCATGAAGGGCCTTGAGGAGAAGCTGTATGAGGAGTAGCTGTGGTCACTTGGTCTGTTCAGCCTGAAGAAAAGGAGACAGGGGAGACTTCATTGCAGTCTGCAACTTCCTTATGAGGGGAAGAGGAAAGGGCAGACACAGATCCCTTAACTCTCATGACAGGACTTTAAGGTAACAGCATGAAGCTGAATCAGCAGAGGTTTAGTTTGGATATTAGGAGAGGATTTTTCACCCGAAGGATGGTTAGGCACTGGAACAGGCTCCCCAGGGAAGCGGTCACAGCACCAGCCTGAAAGAGTTCAAGAAGTGTTTGGACAACGCTCTCAGGCAAAAGGTCTTAGGGAATGAATCTGAGGGATGATCCCGAGCAGGGCCAGGAGTTGGATTTCAATTACCCTGATGGGTCCCTTCCAATGAGCATATTCTATTACTCTGTGATTCTCTGTATTTAATTTTTACTTTGATTCTCATTTGTACTGTTGTTCCCATAAGCAACTCCAAACCAAAGATAACAGATCCTGTGGCTAGCATGAGACTACTTTCACTTTTTGCTGGCTGGCTATCATACAAAACCTTTTAAGCACCATGTTCATGTTCCTCCCTATGGTGCACTAATTCATCTTCTCCAGTGACCAAAACTACATGGAATTTTACTATCAATCCTATTCCTTTCAAAGAGGATTTATAGTTGACAGGTATAAACAGATAAACAGGGATACACTTGATTAAATTCTATTTCCATAGCAGAAAGAGTTAAAAATAATATAGGCTGCTGCATTAAGTGCATAATTTCCTCAAATGACTTCTCAGCTGTGTAGTAGCATTTTCAATACAGGAATTCTAATGGCTGTTTTCATTGTTATGGTTTTTTGTTTTTTTTAAGAGACTATCACAAGTAAAATGTTTAAATACTTAACAGATACTGAACACTAGAAGAACACATCAGGTATTCTTTTTATTCAGCTGCTTTTTGAAACATTTTCTTCCCTTGACATTGTGACTATCCTATCTTCACTATCTACTTTTTCAAGCTTTCATTTACCCAGAAGCTCCTCTGCATGTCTATGAATACATTTATGTGGTATTTTATCCTGATTTATCATCATCACAAAAATAGTATTTTGGGATTGCCATCAGCTCAAACACTGATATTGCAGAATTTTTGGTCTGCATATGTCTTAGCATATCCTTTCTAATAGCAGACAACAATTAAGTTGTTCTGGACCAGCCACCAACTTAGGCAGAAATCTGGTCTTGACTATGTTCACAAGCACTCAAACCCAGAAGACTCAGACTAGGTATTTTTCCTGTAATTAGACAAGATCATCTCTGCTATGTCACACAGGCAAACCAGAAAATTCCTTAGTGGATAAGATATTTACTTTCATATATAAGAAGATTAATAGCTTGTACAGTCAAAAGATTAATGTAGTATCCCACACAAATTAAGAATCTAAGGTTATCCTCCAGCACTGTCTTCTCATTTGCCTCTTCAGCAAACATCACCTTGTCAGCTAAAAGGACAGGTACTCAGGAGAAGCATTTAAGACAAAAGACCATTCTCTTTTCTGCAAAGATCATTGAAAGAAAATCTCTTACATTAAAATCTCTCAGTCAGGCTTAAGCACACACAAAATGCAGTTGGTTCAGGCATTATTCCAGGTCATAGGGATTTAGCTTACATATTTCACATGTGATGCACACCCCTGAAATGCTTTAATGATTTTATGGTCTTTCACTTCTTATATTGAAGTAAATTACAAACACTTCCAAAATTAGGAGTATCCAATTGTATGTTTTATTCTCCTTCCAAGAAATGGAGATGATACATGTACACAGGACAGCAACATGCATGAAACAACTGCCTCAGAAGTGATTTAGAAGATCTTTAAGCTGACTGGGACACAACCATTTCATATTTTATAAGAACAACCATTTTTTCTAAGAAATTCGGAAATAGATGAGTAACAATCTGGCAAAGCAGTTGTAACTTAAGGTTTTCTCAGATGTCCTCACAACTTAAGCTTCTCCTCTTATATAAGGAAGTCCAGATGCCAAAATTGAACTCAGATTCTTAACCAATAACTTGAATGAAACAACTACACATGAGAGAATATAGGTCTCACTACGTGAGGTCTGTACAGGTGTATATTCTGGTTGAAGTAAGGAGCCACCTGGCCAGTTACCTCCATTGACTCATTGTGACAAAAGACAAGCACAGCCCTTAAGGTCCAAATAATTCATATCAAAGCTGATACCTTAAATGACAGCTAAGAACAGATCTCACACATGAATAGGCAGTTATAGAATAGTGTAACTGTATAATAAACCCCAGGAATTTTTAAAGGACAAATCTCTGTAACTTTTGCAAACTATTTTACAAGAAAGAATGCCTAGCTAAGTAGAAGATACCAGACAATTTACTGGCATTCCTGTTGTTATTTAGCCTTTCCACTCATTTCCTCTCTCTCAGTTACCACTCCTGCATTGCTGCTTTTCTTCCTTTCAAGGGTTATAAAGCGTTGCTACATTGAATAGAAGGAATCAAAGTTTCATATCTTCTAAACCACTAAAATGAACTTATTACTTACTCAAATTCTGTGGCATAATATTTGAAGAAGCCTATTAGCAAATCTCCAAGGCTTGATCCATTTTTTGAGACGTAAGGAGGAATGGTACGTGGAGCTTGATGAACAAAATGCAACTGCATAGTAGGATCAAAACATTCCTGTCAAAATAAAATCAGAGTGTATATATATGTATATACACAGAGAGAACCTTAACCCAGATGCACGTATTTTCCACAGTAAGAAAGCTGCCTATTGCTTGCTTATTATAAGTTCAAGGACAACTTACAAGCCAAGGACTACTTCTCTTCTGCCCCACTGAATACTAGTTACTCCCCCTAAACTCTTGTATGCACAGGAGCATACAAGACCATCTGTTAACTTCTGTTTACTAAAGAATTTTAACACGGGAGAATCTTTGAACTAGACTTGCATTTAAAACCACAAGAGCAAAAGCTGTGTAAGGTAGCTTGCACTGAGCTGAATGCAGTTCAGCTGAGAAATATGTAGGTGAAGTTGACCTATTGTAAATTTCCCATAGCTGAACCAAAGTACAGAAATAATCTGGAGGGAAGGCGTAACATTGCTCCCAGGCACCAAATTAAAAACTGCATATGAATGAACCTGTTCCACCCACAAAATAAGCATAAAGACTGCAGGTATGACTTCCTCTAGCCAATAATGAAAAAACCAACAAAAAAAAAACAAAAAACAACCAAACAAAAACAAAAACAACAAAACAAACAAACAAAAAAACCAAAACCAAAAACAAAAACAAAAAAAACAAAACAAAACAAAACAAAAACAAACAAACAAAAAAACCAAAAAAAAAACCAACTCCAAACCAAACCAAACCCAAAAAAAATCCAAACCCAACCATCAGTGAAGTTATAAAAAATGCGTGAATACAGAGAATGCTGCATTTCAGCTGAAGTATGCTTTTCTGTAGGGGAAAGCGGGTGAGCATAATGGGGCACAAAAAAAATCAGATTTGCTAGGAAAAGAAGGCACTATTGCCAGCCAAAAAAGGAATATATACAAGACTAAATACATATGGTTTTAGAACTGCCCTGCTGTTTCAGTGTCCATTGCATCCTTTAGGTTCTTCTGATAGACTGGGGTACACAGAAGTAAACATATCTCCTCTTGCCATAGAAACAATATTTATGACTTGCTAATACCTGGTTTTAACACTGTTTTACAGCAATGTTGTGTATTTTACTGAAAATGAACTCAAGATACACAGAAGCAAACATTACATTCACATAAAGACACACATTTATGTAAATTTAGGAACCTGTTCACTCATTACTGTATCTTCTTTCCCCTCCCCACCCATTAATTTTTTACTTTTAAGAGTAGTATCAGGCATGATTCAAACTTTATAGTACAAGAATAGCACTAGAAGCACTACATAGCGTAGTATTATTTCCATGTCCACAGTTGGCACTGCTTCCTCTGAGAAGAGTACTGTTAAGTGACAAAACCAGTAGGACTGGAAAGTTTGAGGGTCCCATCTTCTTTCTGTCAGCTTCAGCAAAACTCCCTGGAACCTTGTGCAACACATTTTGGGGAAAAAAAGCTATTCTTCTAGAGATCTAAAAATTACAATGGTTGATCTCTTATGATATAATGCTATATATAAAAGATTATTTTGTTTGCAAAGCTCAAAATTTAACAGCTTATAGTTCATCAGACGACATCAAAACAATGGAAACACAGACATAAAAAGAAGATATGCAGTATCCAAAGATGTAGAAAGGAACAGTTGTTCCCATGTCATATAGTAAATACAGTTTTAACCCTAAAGTTTATCAGAAAGGTACTACAGTGAAAGTCACTTCTTGTCCATCCCCACAGAAAGCCAAAGAAGAGTCAGAACAATTGAATTTAGAATTAGCAGTACACCAGCTGATGAAAAAAGATACAAGAGAAGGGGGGGAAAGGAAGAAGAAAATGGGGCCACTGACCTACAAAAATACAGAAGTGTAATGGAGTTACAACAGATGTCTACTATGAGTAGTAAGTGTTGGGAGGCAGTAGGAAAGAAAGACAAGATTAATTTTTTTACACTTTGAGTATTTAATTGCCTGAGAACTTCTCAATTGCAAGAGAATTCTGCCATCACGGTGAGGTTGATATCCTCAGCAGCTAAAAAGTTAGGCTCTTTTTTATTATTTTTTATATTAAAAAAAAGCTATTTTTTAACTGGCAGACAATATGATCTCAAAGATTTTCTTATTCAGAAAGGCTTTTGCTTTCAAGAAAATACATGCATATTATTCTAGACACATGCATTAGTAAAAACACAGGTTACAGGCTATAGCAGCTAACTATTAAAACCCCCAACCACCTAGTTTAAGAGACACATATAAGTAATTCTCATTTCCGCTTGGTTTAGTGGTTATGTCACTATAAAAATTGCTCTAAAAAAGACAACTGAGTATTGCAAAATAGAGGCATAACTTGTATTACTTTTGTGGAAGAAAATAAGACTTACTAACCAAAACTAAAGCAATGTATTAATCACATGTTTGTGACACTGTTAGTAGACTTATTTTTTATGCGCTGTGGGTAGCTGATTACCCCACAGAGAAGGCAAAACTAAGTGTTAAATCTTTCTGAAATAAAGAAAATTTATTATGCAAGCGGTTGCTATTACCATATTAGAATATTCTACATGTAAAACCAAATTAATTACTACTTAAAATTGGCAAGATTTAGTGAAAACTTCTGTCAAGATATACCAATATTCAATAATTCAATTACCAATGTAATTTAAGGTCATTTCTAAACAAAGGAATCACTCACTGTCCAATGAAACGAGGTCAGACCAGCTAAGGGATACCTAGATACTTTTTTCTGCTTTGCCACAGACAAGCCATGATAATCCCCTAACTTCAACTCTTCTCCATTCATCTATTGTAATACAAGGGTAACAGTATTTTCCTTTCCACTAGAGGAACTCAGGGAATAACTAGACAAACAAGGTACAGCTTACAGATTCTGCACATAGGTGAGATTGCTAAAAAATGGAATTACAAAGCATCCTTCGAAGTACTTTTTCTTTTCTTAATTTGCTCTAGAAGGCAAAATATTCAGTTTCTATTAAAATAAGTCCCTATTTCGCTTACTGCATCTTTGCCTCAAGCTGTCTTAAGAGACAGAAATTAGATTCAGAATCTGATTGGGCAAGAAATATAAATGAGCTCTCCATTATTTTAAGATATCCCATAAAAGAGATCTGAAAGTATTTCTTCTGTTTGCTGGATCTCTAATTTTTATCTTTATTGACTGATTTCTCAAGAAATACCAGTATTCAGCAACATGCTTCATATTCAAGCTACAAAATGCTTTTAAGTATGCTCATTCCACCTTACACACTAGAAAGGAACACAAGTGTACATCAAAATAAAGTTTGTATTTGAGTATTTTGATGTATAGTGAGTTTAATTCTGAATGTACAAGATTCTTCATTCAAAATAGTAACATCAGCATAAAATATGCTAAAATATCCTTTTCCCCAGTCTTGTAAATGAGTATTTAACTCATGCTTATATTTTTTAAAAGTGCAACTCAGTGTGAAGCAAACTGTGTCTTTCCAAGGGTTGACTCCCATGTTAAAGACCATCCTACCTTCTGCCCCACTTTTTGCAAGACATGACATGAAACTGAGGCAGCAGAAACAAAGATGTGCTCATCCTAGAGTCCTTGAAGTTCATCATCCAGAGCACTCATGGAAACCCAACTTCGTCTTGACTTCAGTTAAAACACCAGACCTCTTGAATGTTGGAGTCCAGGACATAACTCTGGCTGCCCTGGCTGTCTCGAGACCCTGGCAGGGGTCTCAGAGACCCTGGCATGAAGTCAAAAACAGCTGTGGCTTCGATTTTAGCCCGTGGAAAACTGCCAGCTCTGTATGAGGAATTACAAGTCACAAGGGTTTTAGTAGTGTGATATTTAAAATAACACAGGGTGTAAAAGTAGAATTTTGGGATTTCTAGAATGGTATTCAAGGGGATACAAGATGGAGGAACTTGGGTGTGTCCTAGCCTTCTTCTTTGTCTTGACCTCCCTGGTTTGGTGTGATGGTGGCACTTTTCTATTGGTTTAAGTTAAAGATTCACTGTCTAACATAGATGATAGGAGTTAGTGAAGAAATTATAAACATAGACACATAGTTTTGAGTGTATAATGTGGGAGCTGCCCGGGGCTGGAGAGAGAAATGTTATGGCCTCCTTGCTAGCCAGAGCTCGGCAAATCAGAGAAAGAATGTTTAGATAAGAAATAATCTTGAAAGCACAATCGGAAGTATTCCAGGCTCCTTCTTTGGCTGCATTCAGGCTAGGGAAGCAAAGACTCTTTTCAATGTCTCTTGGGGTCACCCTGACCTAAGAACCCTGAGAGAGAAATCCACATTGAACAGTGGTGAGTCAGGCACAAGTTTCCTTCTGAGTGCCACTGACAGCAATGTTCACCAGCCACAATGGTTTAATCCACCACGGGTTCTCTGGAGCTTATCCATGAAGTCCTGAAATGGAAGCAGGTACTATATAGACTTCAAAACTGATGAACACACTTGGTGGGCTATTGCCATCTACCTCACCTGGCTAGGGGGCAAGGGAAACCCCAGAATACAACCCTGCCTTTGATGTGGTCTGATATTCCCTCTAAACTAGTGGCTGCAAAACACATCAGCTTGGAACCAGCTGGAAACTCCCCCATGACAACAGAATGCAGAAATGGGCAAATCTGGTGGCTTTCCAGGACTTCTCACCCTTCATATTTGTAATAGTGATTCACTGAGACACAGAATCTGTCTTTCAATTCCTCCTCAATGTAAGCATGTCTCTCCTATATAGCACCAACAATTTAAGATAAGCAATTTTCTCTAGATAATGGAAGTATTTTATGACTGCAGATTTGAAAAACTGTGGGTAGGTGTACTTAGGGAAGATGCAGTATGTTTGTATAGTTTTTGTATAGAGACACAACTCTGACCAGCTACAATCATAAGAAAAAGATATGGTTTCTTTTGATACTGAAATTTGCCTGTGCTTTTTAATTATTACTGCAAGCCACAAGACCAAAATTGATTTGCCATATTTTTCATTTAAAATTCCTTTGAAATATTAGTATTCAGAAATTTCAAATTTCATAATTTTTAAGCATTTAAGTATATTCCTAATGGAGACAGTAGATCAAAAACATACTTACAATTCGGTTTGTAGTAAGCATGCATAAAATATTCTTCTAATTTTGTTAGCAATTCTAAAATATTTTGTCCGTTCCCAAATATAAGAAAGAACAATAAAACCAAGTATAATCTATATCAGAACATGGCAAAATGCAATTCTTACAGCATTGCTCACCTGCAAGTGATTTACCATTTTCACAAAACACAAGGTAAAACTTTGCATTTAGATTAATTAGATTTCTCAGCTTAAGGTACTGGATACATTTGCTTTAATGATTGAAGGCATTAATATTTCTATAGTATTCTGGATGTCACTACAAAGTTTGAACACTACAAATATAAATGTCTGTATTATAAATACAGAAGAGTCAAAAGCAGCCAGTTCTAAACACTTTTGTTTAAGTAACATGCTACACAAAACTTAGAACACTACAGCACGCAAGCTTTAAGGAAAAGTAATTAGCAAATCTAACAATTCAAAAATCTATCAGATAAAGCTAAGTGTAGAAGAAATGAAAGATAGTTTCAAAAGCTTTTCAGAGCTCCCAATGAAGAAACTAGAAGGTATAGCGTACCATCAAAAAATCAAAGGCAAAGATAAAGACTATAAAAATATAGCACAGGTTTCCCTAAGAAGATTTACAACATAAATAAAACTGCAGTGAATTATTGTTCAATGCTTTCTTTTGCATCTCCATTATCTTAATTACCCTAAATGGCTGACACCAAAGTATTTTCTCCCTGATGTGCAGCACCACTAAATATTCCCATTTCAGCATTATGGGAAATACAGGCAAAAGACAGAATGGCTTTCTGATACTAGCTTGGCACAATTGCTAGCAACATTAAACTCCCCCCCATATGTAGACAGGAACACCAAATTACGTCAACTATGAATAAAGAAAAATTTCAACTGACACATATGAGACAGGTAAAGAGGAAGGAACCAAGGAATTTTTGTAAATAAATTACAGCATAGAACTATTCAGCAATAGCACTTCTGTGCACAGACAAATATTTAGGAGGGCAGTTCTTACTTCTAGATAATTTTTCTTAGATTAGATCTCACAAATAACACTCCTAATTCTGGAGGGACCAAAGCATACTGATTCTCCAGAAATGGACAGAGTATGATCTAACTACAATAACAAAGTTCCAAAAAGGTGTTTACTTTTTGGACTGAAGTCAAATTTTGTGAGGTCTCAAGTTTCCTTAGTAAACCATATATCACTTTCTTTCTGCACATGGAAATATCAGGCAACTCAACAGCTTGGAAAGGTATGGAATTCTGAAGCACCAGAGCTGAATGAAAAAGCACTACTTAACACATTAAGATACAGGAAAGTTACAGAAAACTACAGCTGACACAGGGATATTTCCAAGCCAGCATAAAGAGAATTAGGTTAGTAGTTTTCATTAGCACTTTCTTCTGTGTGTCAATCTTCCATACATAACAGAATTTTCATTTAAAAAATTATCAAAAGCAGCAAATAATATTTTTCACACTTAGATCTAGCATATCAATGACGCGACCAACAGACTGCTAATTCAGCTTAATCCATTAGAGATTGTTAAGAATTTATATACTTGGATAAGCAGGGTCACATACATAAATGATGTAGTAAATCCATAAGAAACACTTACTGGGTAATTTTTTTGGAGGGATGGAAGGATGGGTTCAGGTAAGGCTACAAAAAAAAAAGTTCAAAGTTACTGTGATTCATGTAATTCACAGGAAGCACTATCATATCAACTACATCAAAGAGTTGCATTGAAATTCTATCTTAAAAACATTTATCAAGAACTTCACTTTCATGCATTTTGTAAAATAAGTTATTTGGCAAACATTTTTATTACTGTATTTCTTAGTCTACAGTACTATAGGAACTTTATTCAGCTAATGAAAGGTCTTATCAAGACACTACTCTATGTAAAAGGCATGAAAAATTCTATAGCAGCTGGGTACAGCTTTATTTCTGAAATTCATATTCAGAATTCATGGCTATAGGAAAATCATCTAGATTCCCTTAATGAAAAATTAGAGCTTCACTCATCTTTTCTTTCTTATATCTAATACAATTCTATGAACAAGTCTACAGTTACTGCAAAAGAACATGTTTTTCAGCTGCCAAGGATTACATACTGAATCTCCAAATGTAACCTATTAAAAACGCTCAACACACTTAGTAGGCGTTGCTAGCAAAATCCCCATAAAATACACAAATACGGTCTAATAGTGTTAGCTGATCTGCTAAATGGCAAACATGTTATAAAGATCATACAGTCATTAACAATACTAACAAGCATAAAATTATCTAAATATTAGTCACTTTTATGAAAACCATGGATTAGGAGTGCATCTATTGAACTATATACATTAGAGACAAAAAAAAAAAAAATCACCCAGATAAGGTGGTCCTATAGATGGATCAAAATCCCTAAGTTTTTACATCCTACTCAAGCAGCTGTAGAACTGTCAGAGTACTCCTCAAACTAAGGCTTTAACATCATGTCTTCAGCATGGTTTAAGAAATTGGTCTACATCATTCACTAAGGAAAAAAATAAATAAATTCAGTACATAGGTCTTGGATTTGGAACTTAGTTCACTCTCCAACAAGGTCTTACAGGTGAAGAGATGTCACATAATCCTTTTTCCTTAGAGACTAAGAATCAGAAAAGCAGAATTCTTAGAATGTATTTGGAGTACCTTTAAAAAGTCAAATATACATTCAGGACTGCTAAGAAAATTACCACAGCTGCCTCAGTAACATTTTTATTTGTGGGTGTTCATGCTTCTGCAACATCTTGGATATTGCCCAGTTCTCTACCACACTAACATAAAAGGCAACAAAATCTGAGCAACAAAATCAAGGTGTTGTATCTAGGTGTGTATGCTTTATTGAGCTTTAGTAAGAGGATGGATGGGAGGGAAAAAATTACCACTTACCACTAGCATTTGCCCTATGAGTTTCCTTTTCTTACTGTTCAAGTTAATTAGACCTATTATCTGGAAGAAAGTTCAAGTACAAGAAACTGATGTATCTACAAAATAAACTCAAGCCACACTAAACCTGGGTCCAAAGACATCCACATTAGTATAAGAATATAATAATAATAATATAAGTATAGAAAAGAAATTTGCCTAGTGAAGGCAGGGACACTAGTGCAAAAGAAAGGTGTTCTTTTTTTTTCTGTCCACAGTATCAACAAAAACACTACTAGAAATTCTAGGACAGAGGCTATTTTCAGAAATATCACACGTACATAGCAGGGAAAAAAAGCTTTAAATCTGCATGAATAAAACATCAGAACCTAAAAATCTGGTGCTCAGATGCATGTACAATGTACAGGGCCACATCTCAAGTGCTTCTTTTTCATGCCATTTTTTTTCCTCCATAGAAAAGGCTGAGGAGGCACAGGTAGATAGCTCCTCCTTGATTTCTGGACTGCTGATCTTCCCAAGACAGCTGACTGATCAGTTTTGCATGAAAAAGGATTAGATGAGACTTCTTTTCTTCTTTCCTAGACAGCTGTGGCAGCTGCCAGAGATGACTACAGTAAATGTTCTTATGCATTTCTGTGAAGTAGTACTTAAGTTTGTTTTATAGCTACACAGTGTCCTTTAAGTACATTTTTTTTCCAAACCTTTTTAAAGGTGGCAACTCTGCCTCCAAAGAGCATGTCCACGTGTTAAACACAAATGCAACATAATGAAATGGAGTAAAACTCACTTTAAGTATTTCTGTGTAGGATACGACTACTGCTTCACTAAAGAGGAAAACTAAACAAATATGAACTTAAAAGGGACAGTTTCAACATGTAAAAAATACTTACTCTGTAAATAGTGCAAAACCATCAACACAAGACTGTAGCTGTTTAAAGTACCACGACTGGCATCATTTATCTCATGAAAACTTGCCCACTTCTTAATAACAAGTACTAATGGACGAACTCGATTCTCAACTGCAAGTAAAATAAACACATCTCAAAAAAGTACATTTAACTAGATAGCAATTAATCAACATTTGTTCTTGATCAACATGGTAGTTTTGTATTCTAAGGTTACCTTCTGCAGGCATTTTATAGAATTTACTTAAAGAATTCTACAATTACTATCCATCCTATTAAAATCAAAACAAAGTACTTGCATTTGCAAACAGCCTTTTGAGTAGTAAGATCCACAGACACTTTACAGGAGGTATACTAGGAAATTTGCAAAGCATCTTTCAACTTCTAACATCTCTCCAGTTAATTGTAATAATTTTCTGTGAAAATACTTGTTGTCAGGACAGACCCTATGTTATTTTTTTACTCAGGCTATATAAACTTTGAAGGCAGGGAAAATAATTATTGTGGCTTGAGGACACAGCTGATTCTAAAATTTACATCAGGATACGTGACAGCAGTAACCCCTCATACAAACATAAATTTTAAATTTTCCATGTCTTCATTAGCTTTTTATGCAGATGACATGTTAGATACAGTATCTCGTTAAATTAATATGTATGCATTTCATGAGAAAAAACATAAATACAGCCATATGCCAGGTATGATCTTCTGAATTTCTGGTGAATATAGATAACCTTCTAATTAAGGTATTAATCTATAGTAGGTAGACATCACTTACCACAAACTCCTGAAACTCTGAAGCATAGTTTATTATTTGCAGGTATGCAGAAGCAGATATTCAAAAAAAGCTTATGCATTCTGGAGTATCTTTTCTAACCTGACCTTATTATACAAAGTTTTGTATTCTGCTTATGAGGACACAAGGACAAAAGACATCCTACAACTGCATCAGTTGGGGTGCTCTGTTATTCTACAAAACTATCAAGCATGATTTTCTCACAACATGTTCAGAGTGGCTCAGCACATATGCCCATGTAAGTGGTACTCTTCTCAGAATGAATGTCCTACTAGATCTGGAAGATCTTTTGGAAACAACCAAACTCCTTACCACTAATCATCTTATTCCTGACATTGTTCATCAGTGGTTAAACTAAAAAATATAACTCAGTACACTAATTGTGAGATGCCAAAAAGGTACTGTACAGATACCACATGAAGATGCATTAATTGGAATAGGATTTTTTCATGAGAGAAAAATGCAAATAGGTTCCAGTTTCAAACATAGCTATTTTGTGTCACAGTAGAAAACATGTTTTTTCAGTTGACCTCATTTTGAGATAGTAAATTCTGTCTGCTGGTGCCTGTAATCAGTATATAACAAAGTTTGTGTGCAATATGGCCAGTAAATTTTGATACAACATTTTCTCAAGAAAATGCTCAGTAATGTTATTTGCACAAAGCTAAAAAGTTCAGCCTCCACTAACTGAAAAATATCTAGCAAAACCTGCTGGTTAATCAGACATGCCCCCTTAAACAAACAACTGGTAACGTAACAGCATAGATTTCACCTTCTAGCTCTGCCTAATCTACCTACATTTTCTGTTCACATTTTGTGTCAGCTTGCCTCATCATCCTCAATGTTTCCTAAAGCACTCATGCACCAACACAGAAGAGCTAACTTCAAAACAGACAGAAAAGCATTCACAGAAATTTTTTGAGTTTTAGCTTTTTTATCATATTCACTAAGACAGATAGTCCCTTGTTTGCCTGAGCATCTAATTTGTTCCAATGGAAAACAGACCAATACATCTTCCTACATTAGAGGTAATTTGATAATTTTTTTCTCCCATGCAGGTTGAAGACTATTTAGGAAGATCCAGAACATTGAAAAGATTGTATTTTCAATAATAGGTCTCTCTTTGCTATTAACTCACTCCTTGACTTCAAGAAAATATTATTTAGCCTTCACCAGGAAACATGAAGTTGATTTTGCTGGCCTTGTAAAAGAAGAACAGAAGAGAAGGTGGGATACTAGGACTGCTTCCACTGCTCTTTTCACATCTAGATTTGTTTGCCCTACAGTGATTTTCTGAGAAAAGACAATCTGTGACAGAAGCTACAAACAAGTATATCAACATTAGACTTCATGAAATGACTGTCCAATGATTACTTCCTAATATTTTTAAACTTGGAAGCAAATCCTTTTCCAGTCATACACCTTCTTGAATGTATGAAAAAATCACAGTTAACCAACTGATCCAGGACAAGCTGTAGACTCTCCTAGAAACATGAATATGGAACACTAACTACTTTGACTGAAATATAAGTAAAAATTAACCAGTGTAGGTAGCTTCTATTGGTAACTACCTACCCTAAATAGAAATAAATTCTTTTATGCAAGAACTGAAGAAGGGGATAAATGAATAAATGCAAATGCCCTAGAAGAAAAAAGCTGAGGCACACTCCTTTATGTACTTATCTGCCAAATGACGTTGCAATGCGAAGAAAGAAAACCTTAGTTTACCATTAAGAATGCTGTTGTTATTATCTTCCTTTCACAAGGCTGTTTCACAATCTCTCCCTAACATGCAAACTCCTGAGCAGACACAAACGAATTTTGATTTGGGATTAGTATAAATACGGAAGCAGTATTCTGGATTTTCCAAGCAAAGTCTCTGCAACAGCATACAGACATAGCTGGCTATGAGCCATCCATACTGTCATTGGCTGTAAGGAGATAAAAGAAGCTGGAGACTACAACACTAGATAACCATTACTATCATGACATTATTATCTGCAGAATACCTGAAGTAGCCCTTGTAGTATGGGCCTGAATATGAGGAGTCTTTTTTATCTTCTGAATATTATAGTATTCAATTAAAAACATACAGCTGTTTTCTCCATATATTTAGAATGAGCAACAAGAACTTAAAGCTACTTAATGTAGATAAATAGGTAAATATATATATCTATTAAATTTTAACTTTAGTCTATTAAATTTTCATAGCATATCAATACCAAAATACAAACTCTATAAGCAAAGTTAAAATAAATAAAAAAATAAAATAAAAACTTACTGAATGCATAGCTTCTCAGAAGGAATGTATTTCTTATACCTATCACATTGTTTACATTCAAGTCGAAATCCACATTGCTATTAGGGAGGAAAAAAAAATGAAGCATCATGGTATTTAATTTCTGAATGTTTACTACCTACCTTATGACAGATACTGGGAAAAATAATTTTAATTTAAAGCCCTAGAAACTTTCTTTAGAGCTTCAAATGCCATGATTTAGTTTTGTTTAGAGTTCCTGAGCCACTTACAGACTTGAATTCCTTTGTTATAAAAATGTAATTGTTGTTTTACATGAAGAATACATGTAGATGCAAATTTAGACTCTAGGACAACTTAGGATATCTTTTTTAATTTTTACCCAATCTTTCTCCCAACTACACTTGCACTACATGATTTACTACAGATAACTTTTGATAACAGGAAGGATTCTCTGAGGTATTAGTTTAGGAAATTATGCCAATGAACTGTGAAAAAGAACTGGAAGTGGTCAGAAGGTAAGACCCATTTCTGCAATGACAGTAAGAGAGACTCAGTATGTAGGAATAAAACCAATTCTGAATAAACACTACCTGTTGTGCAATAAAACACTTTCTGTACATTTTATTCTGTTAAGATTAAGTAAGGCAAACAAGCACTAACTGCTTTATTTATAACACAACCTGCCCCAATTTTAATTTCCTACTACTATATAGAGCCTAACTAATCACAGAACTCAAGAAATGACATTGCATTCATGGTCAATAAACCATATCAACACTAACTTGCAACAGGAAGAGCCTATTATTAGACAAAGAAGTAGCTGTATATGTGATATACAGCTATTTCCATTTTACATGCACAAGTTTGATTCACATAGCATTTGTTCACCCAAACACTTTGGATTTTCTTTATTACATAAGGGGAAGATGGACCTGAAATTCATTAAATTTGTAAAAGACAATTTGAGGCCTACTAGAAATTTTTCATGTATTTTGAACATTTTACATTTTTTAAATCTTTTATACACTTTTTACATCAAAACATTCTTTGCATCAAAACTACTGCGTAATTTTTAAGCTGAGTTAGTATCAAGCATAACCTTTTATATGTTTTAAGAATATAGTACATAACAGTACAGGAAATAAACAAGTTTCAAAGCTTCAGGTACCACATCACAGTTGTAAATATAAGCATGAACATCCATAAGAATAGTAACTGCATGTTCAAATATAACAAAAAATGTCAGATTGCATGTGTAATTCCAATTAATCCAAATTGACAAGCTTATTTACCATATGCTTATTGAAGCAAGTTCTACTGCATGTTTACTCTGCATGTTTAATACCTGTTGCAGTGGTGGCAAGTGAAAAATGTTTTGTAATGCCTGGACTCAAGTTCTACTAAAAAGCACTAAAGGAGAGGAAAAGAGTCAACTGCACATCAACTGTAGCAGAAGAGGAAGATTTTTGTATCTTCTGTAGTATAATAATCATGATAACTGATCAAAGGCTTGTTGGGAAGCAGAACCACATTAGAATAATTTCCTGGGAAAAACTACCAAAAAAGATGGTAAATCTTTAAGTGCAGTTGATCATCTCCTACTTTTACAGCACTATAAACCCCCAAGTTTAAAGGTTATATAAGAACAAATACAAACTGAATGTTTTCTCATTCACTGAATCAAAGTAAGGGAAAACAGTCATTTTCAGTTATATATGAAATATATATATATATTTCAGTTAATGGTAACACATTAGAATGTTCATCTCCAGATACAGAGATAACACCCATTGAATTCAACCACCTTCTCCCAGCAGCTGGGCATCAAAAAACTAGCTCTCACAGGAAGCTTGTAATGTTTAGTTTCAATTTAGGCAAACACAGGCTTAGTGCCCTGGGTACAGGATATCCAATCCATTTTGCAAGACCTCTGGGAAAAAAACATATGTGTACATGTTTTTGTACATCAGAGCCTACAAAATAGAAGAGGCCAGTGAGAGCCTGGAGAGAGACAAATGCTTAAATAAAAATACAAAACATGAAGGTGACAGGTTATGTAAGAGTAAGATAACTGTAAAGACAGAAAACAAAACAAAAACAAACTACAATTAAAAAAAATCCCAACCCAAAATTATATTCACCACCACTCCTCTCTTCCACAAAAGCAATGTGGATGATGGAAAACCAGATAGCGAACAATACTGCTTTTAACTCTGCAAAAATAAAATGTGCTGCTTCTATTCTTAGAAGATCATACTTTGATTTAGTGGGAAATAAAGAGTTCTTTAAATCCTATCTGTAAGGTATACAATTATCATTACTTACTTTTTGAAAGTGACTGTACTATGGGCTGTAAGACCTCAATCTTCTTACAAAATCACTTCCATCTGTTCCCATACTAAAGGTCTCTTTTTAAAGTTTATTTTCTCATTTTAAATTGGTGAAAAAATATTCTTGCTATAATCCCGTAACTCATTCAATATTTGTACCAGGAGTATATAATTTCATTTATATATTAAAAGACTAGCATTGCTATATGTAGCTAATCTAAATAACCCAAATTTTAGCTTGACAAGTACCATACTTTCAGGAAGCATGGAAGAAACTACCTTCTGTACTATTAAAAGAGAAAGTAAAAAGCATTCCAATTTTTAAAAGGTCAGCAATTATACTCAAGTAAATATGGGACTGGATGAAGAAAAAATGTAAAGCAAAAACCCCAACAAGTGTGTATAATCTCAGATGAAACAAAAGGTTAAACTGATGCTATAGATTAGTTCAAATTGTAGACATGACAGATTTAGTTTTATCAGGGCAGGAACCTAGCCATGATAAAACTAAAGGTATAGTGTGATAAAAACATGTTGCAATATGCTTTCATAGGGAGGGGTCAGAAAAGTATGCTTATTTGTTTTTAAAAGACAGAGACAGGGTTGCAAAATTTTAGAACTGTATAGACAGGTTAAGAGAGCCACATTGGTGTTCAAAGACAGGTTAAGAGAGCTACAAAGTTGTTCGAAGTCCAATTTACAAAGAAGGGTGAAACGATGTTACTATAGGAAACTGATACATATCAGTGTTACAAAACGCAGCCAATGAGCCCAATAAACATTACTCAAGACTGTCAACATATTTCAATGTTTGCATGACTTTTTCCTATCAGATACTTTTATCACACACAGTAAGAAAGACATTATTATCTGTCCTAGTGCATCCCTCTAAATTATTCTCATAATGAATATACAATGAATACAGAAAATATCACCACAAACTAGTTTGTTTCAGTGTTGTTTGTACAGCTCAATAGCTATGTCTGCTCAGCAAGTAAAATTATATTTCACAACAGTTTTTTTCCTACCACTGTTTTTTCCATCAAACCATTTATTAACTTGGAGTCCACTATGTACAAATAACCTACAGAAATATGTGATGTACTGCTTCTAAATCACATCACAGGAACCAAATAGCATCTCAGCTACAAGAGGTGCTTCAGACCATCAAGGCAATAAGCTGACTGTCACTGCATACTAGTTTGTGATACAATTACAGCACCACGCAAATAAACACACAAAACGGTAGGACTACTCAAAAGGGCAGTACATATATAGAATACTTTCCTATGTCAAGGTCTAAAAGATTAGGTTGAATAGAATACTTGCCTGACTTTATCCCTGAATTTCACTATTGGCACTTTTGCTCTGATCAGCTGAGGTCGCTCAATGTAGCTTGCTAAAAGGGAGAAGGATATGCAATTAAGTTTCATGCAAGATCCAGATATTAATAAAAGATCCTGTAATAGAATATAACAGACTAATTTGTAGCAAATAGGAGCTTATTAAAGTTAGCAGAATTGTGCTAAACTAGGTAACCTTTAGCAACTGTAGCAAAAAAACAAGCTACAAAAGCAGGTGGAAAACCCCCCACAACTAAACATCACAGAAAATATAAGTAGAATACAAAGTAGAAGACTTTTCTGAGGGAAATATATTCCAGAAGTTTTAACATAAGGACTACAATCCTTTCATGGAACAGTACTTGTAATACAAATCCTGAATAGTTGTAATTAAGGTACAAAAATAAAGGAGCAAGAACATATCCAACCAGGATTGGCTAGTGACAGGCTTAAAACATATTTTGAAAACTGTTAATTTGAATTATAAAGTACATACCAGGAAATGCTACTGAAAACACAACAATGCTTTCTATCAAAAATGGAATAAGCTTTATCTGCCTTTTGTTTTAACAGTGATAGGACATGCAATAAAATCCACGTTGATGATGATTATCAGATGATTACCTGCACAGGATAGACCAACAGGCTCAATACCAGACCATCCAAATTCACACATATTAAGCTCAGCCACTCACATAGAGCTACCAAATGCACCCTCCACACTCAGCTTCCCAAAGCTGTTGCATCAGCCATATTGTTGTGAATTCCCTAGACTTCATGATACCTAAGCCTACTATATTCAGTAGCTTCCCACAATCATGAATGAACTGTGCCCAAGAAAGTAATAGAAAATAAAGAGTCTGTAGCTTATATGGTATGAAATTGGACAAAAGGTGTAATTTTAGTAATTACTTCTGTTGCCAAATCTAGGACCACTTGAATTTGTCCATATCCAACATCATACATTTTCACATTGTTTTTATAAATTAACCTCAGATTAGCACAAATAAGCATGTGCAGTATATGTAATACAGACTTAAAACCAACCTTGAATAAAATTACTTTTTCTTTCCCTCCAGAAAAAGCAACAAGATACTTCTATCAGCTGAACAGCCAGCTTGATTAAACAGCATCATCTCCATTGCTTTTGTATGAAAAATTCAGATTTGATGGAACAAAATTTGTGCAATACTCAAAATAAACTTTTTTTTTTAAACTTTCTAAAACTGTATTGTGTATATGCATAATCAGACAGATTTGACCTGAGGCAATGTTTTATCTGGATTTTAATGCATTGCACAAGCCTAAGCAACACACAGATTGGCACTCAGAAAAAAAGACAATCTTACTAATTTACTGATATTAAAGGGAGAATCTTAAATTAACTGCTTCAATTCATGTTCACTGTCTGCTAAATTAACACAAGCATCCACTCATTCTAGTTGCACCTTCGACACATCCAGGACTCTCTCCATCATCCCATAATATTTTTAAAGTGAGAGTCTAAAGCATGCAGTGCTCTCTACCTCCTCTCTATTCACTAACAAATTTAAGACAATGACTCCCAATGAACTAACACATGGTAGGCAATGGTGAACGTCCACCTGTATGCCACAGCAATTCAACTTTCCTCACTATGAACCTTCCTAATGCTCTTTGGAGGTAAACTGAACTCATTCTAGTGACAATCTACTTCCAAACACATCCTTGTCTGTAAATGTCTCCCTACACTTGATGATGCTTGTGTCAAATTAGCTGGTTAAGAAAAGAAGATACAGCCCAAAGCATAATCCAAATCTGTTTCACAGGGTGGTAAAAAGCAAAGAAGAAGGTAAAAGAGGTAAGAGGAAGTTAGAAGGCAGTAACTTCCTGCTGATATCCTCTTTCTTGGCTCAGACCAATGATGCTGTTAGCAGAATCTATATTGTACCTTAGATATACATACAGGGGAAGAAACAGTCCCAAATACAGGGTGTGGAATTTTGAAGGTTGTGTAAATGCCTTAGTAAACTGACTATGTGATCATGAAAGCTACAACCAGAGAGGGTACACCAAAATACAAGAAAAGAAATCTATACAGCTGCTCCACAGTTTTAGGCATATTATGGAAAGGTCATGAACACCACTTCATTTTAGCAAAAAGCAATATAAATGGCTTCAAAGAAGACTAAGCACTGCTTCATATATAACTTATTAATGCAGAATTTCAGACTGAAGAGCTTAATTCCCTCTCTTCTTTTACAGACTGAAAGATTAAGCAATTGTGCAGAATATTAATCCCAAGCATGGTATATGCCAGAAAGATCCTTGATATCCTGGGCACATAGCCTACTCTTACTTATCAATTTGGTTATATTAGAGAAGGAGAAACTGGACAACACAGAAGTCTGAATTCACATTCATGAAGAATTTAGAAAGGTACAACCCACCACAGGATGAAATAACTGCTGATTTTTTGGAATTCCTTCAGTGATCTGCACAGTCCTTGAAAGTCATTCAACTCAGCTCAAATTCTTTTGCTTGTCCCAGCTGTTACACATTTCCCACTAGAACAGTATTATGCAGATTCTACTCTGATACCCTACTCTCAATGCTACTGCACCTCTTCGTAAATCTAAGGGAAAATGAGTGCTTTGCTATTTATGCAGACAGTAAATACTTGTCAACCTAATCCTATCAAGGTATTTTTCAAATGAATCCCACACAGATGAATCTGAAGTGAGGAATCAGTCTGACATTTACTCTCAGTGGTTTAGATATACACAAAAACAATTAATAAAATATCAGAAGCTTTTTCCCACTTTTCTCTGTTATTAGACTACTCAAAAACAGCACACATTTTCATTTTAGTTGGTATTCTAGATGCAGAATTACAACATAGAAAAGCCTCAGCTATAAGACTTAGAATCTGATGGGACTAAAACTCCTTGCTCAGACTTGTTACCTTTTACAAACCTAAAACAAGCTAGAGTTTACACAAATTTTGAATCCACTTCCCAAACCTCCTAATCTAACAATTGCATTCAACTTTATATGAAGGGTAAAAGAGATGGCACTTAAAGTTCTGTAAACAAAACAAATTGTGAAAGGGACTGATCTAATTTGTACTTGGAATGCTTCTTCATTTATCCATCAAAGAATTAGGGCAAAATAAGCACAGAATCAGACTTTTACTGTCCTTATATTGGAATGCACAGGAACACTGCAGAGTGTAAGAACAAAGAGATATTGTAAGAGGCACAGACATAAAAAACTTCTCCCAAGTTTCTGAACCAAAGTGATCTGGAAAAGGGTTAAAAAAGCTCTAAAACTTTACCTATGCCACAAATATCCTCTTTATTTCTTTTTGCCCTTTAAGTCTTTCAAAAAACCAGAGCAACAAGTTATTTATTTTAAATAGCATCTTATATTTTCTCCCTGTTGTTTCTCTTCCATCTTGACACACACTTTGCTAGCTTTTGTGTTTGGCCCGAACTATGTTTGTTTTCGTTCTCTCATGTGAAGGAACAGTAAGTTTTATGAGTGTTCACACACTTGTTGAGAACATACTGCAGTCTTTCTTCTACAGAAAAAGAAAGAAATACTTAACTAATATTGTCAGAGAGGTATTACCTTAAAATTATAGGATACTATCATACATGCTAACATGGCAGCACAAAACTTGAAAATAATTACCAGAAGCAGCTTCATACATTTTATGTAGACAGGCTCTCCTTGATGTATAGTAAGCACTACTGAGAACAACTAAAACTTCAGTGTGTTACCAACATTATTTTCATATTAAATCCAAACCACAGCACTGTATCAGATGCTAAGAAGAAAATTAACTGTCTCACCTGAGACCAGGACACCTCCTGTTCCAGAAGTACTAAACCTTAGCATAACTGAGCTACAGCTAGTAAATTAGCTAAATCTAGGTGTAAAGACCCATGTGGCAAAGCCTTTTGGTTTTGAACATTTTTAACCAACTTCTGTCTCCTAGTTGTATTCACAAAACATCCATACACAAACACAGGACAGATTACTACAAACAGTAATTAATGCGACAGTGATGTTAAGATTCTGAAGAGATGATGTAAGAGAACTGCATACCCCAACAAACAGAGCCTGACAGGAGTGGCAATCTCAGCAGCACTTTGTCCTGCCTTAACTTCCATATTGTGATTAAACCAAGCTGACCAAATGCACTTGCAAGGTATCAGAGAATTACAAAATCAAAAATGGGCAAAGGCACAAATCACTTGGGGATCACTTCTACATGACTATCACATCTTTCTGATACTGGTAAACAAACCTGATTTTGTCTAAGACTTTGTAACAGAACAAGAGCTCTTGAAAAAAACTGCTCATTTAGAAGCTTCTTGAACCTTGAAAACACACGAATGTATTATCACTGTGCTATCAGAAAGCAATGGAGAGAGCTGCACCACAGACAAACCCAGATTAATTTTCAGACTTATGCAAATGTTCATAATCGGTAGTAATAAGCATTAAATATCAGATGCCTATTCAGCAATAGATGTATCAAGTCTTTCTTCTACATGAGCTGTTAAAATCTGTGCATACATACTTGCAAACAAAGAAATTTTGAAGTCTACATTTAAATTTATAGTTTGTTCCTTTTAGGACTGCAGGACTGTTCAGAACATCACTATAAGGAGTAGCATCAAAGAATCTACCACAAGTCTGGGAAGCAGCACAATAAAGTCATTTATATCAGTAAATGTTAGAGTATTTCATAATTCAAAGGAAGATACAAAAGCCTCTTTGAAGTAGAAGGCTTTCACATTTAGGTCAAGAACTACCTATGTGAATTCTTAATCGGAAGGGAGTCTAAACAATAAGCTAAAGAAATTATGAATTGACATGTTTTATCTGTATGTGCTAGCATTGTCAACATTTATTACTTTCTTCGTTAGGCCCCTAAGTTAATTATTTCTCAAAAGAAAAAAAAATAATTCTACACAGTCTACTGTGAGTGACATCTTATTTTAGAAATCCTTAAAGAGTATATTTCCCAGGAAGACACTGCAATCTAAGATATTAGCAAGAGTACACTAACAGAGGTTTCCCAAAAAGAAAGCTACTCCGTCTAATTTTTTTCCACACCTCAAAAATCATCTGAGATATTACCCATTATTGAAGTCTCTTAGTTTTCAGGAAAAACTGTTGTTTTTCTAATTGTCATTCATCAGCATCAAGTAACATTACTAAATATTTATAGTTTTTCTTCAAAGAGTAGTATGATTAGAACCTAAACAAGACACACTTACATACATTAGTTGCAATTGAGCATCAACACTTCTTCTAGAACTGACAATAATCTTATCACCTCACTTTAGATGGTAACTTACAAAGTTTAGTAGTGAAGAGTTTTTGGACTAAGCTGAGTATATGTCTTGCTTCGGTCTTCTGATTCACCTGAAATGTGGAATTAAAATTAATAAAAGAATTTGGTATCTCTCATTTAAACATTAAAAGTAAGCATGCTTTGCTTTTAAAATGAAATTAGTTCTCAGAATAATACATGAACATGAACACCAACACATTCTACAGCCTACATACACATTTATCACAGTAAATGCCAGACAGAAAAATCCATACTCAATATTCAAGGTGATTATCCAACATTCAAAAATCACAGACCTAGATGAAAACCTAGCCCCATTTATACAAAAATGCCCTCTTTTTTCCTTTAAATTATGCTTCAATTCTTTCAAGATTATAATCTATTTAAATTTCTTTCAGATATCCCTTCTGTTTACCTAATTTCTACTCACAGTATTTTTCCTCACTAAAAATATTTAAGATACTAAATACATTTTTATTCCTGATCACTAAAATTGGTAGCTATGAATCTAAATAATATGAAATTTTACTTATTAGAAATTGTTTCTACATTTATAAGAGTTCTCTAACCAGTTTTCTTCATCATTCTAGGCATCTGCTTCCCTTTTGCATTATTTTTGCACTTATGAATTGAAGGTAAAGCTTTAAAAATACGTTTTGTTAGGTTGTTAGGGTTGAGTTAGTATCTGCACATTACTGGGCTCATAATTTGCAGATATTATGAGTGGACGTTATTAAATCAATAAGATTTGAGCATTTTTTTATCATTTCAGGATCCAGGCTTTTAACAGCACATAGATAAAACCAGACTTTGTTTTAACTACATACGTCTTAAACTACTTACTGGTTCTTCTTTAACCACCAGGCACAAATCACCATCACTAGTACGAGTGCCAAATCCATTCAGTGAGGACCCAACCAAAAAAAGTCTGCTCTCTGTAAAAGAAGAGTAACAAAAAATAAACATGACATGACATATTATAGTTTGAGAGAAAGAGAGAATCACAAACTTGAAGAACATGCAAACTGATATTACGTAATTAGATTCAACACATACGTGGAAAAATTAGCTGAATTTCTCTCTGGAGTTCTTTTCTGCAAAGTTCTTTTCTGTTCAAATCAGAGGGCTGCTGACAACATACTTGAAACCACTCCAAAACCTGTTTACTTAACTGGACACACACATACAAAAAGTAAAGACATAGAAAAGTGAACATGTGAACATTCTTTCTTGCCACGGATGCAATTACATGAAACACAGAAGACTGTTTTTTTTTTTAATGCAAAGCCCAGCACCATTTCACATGACCTACTCCACTGTCTAGAGTTTGACTGCACTTAAACTCACAATCAATAGTTCCTTAAAGAAATTTCTGCTAAGTTTTTAAATTTAAATTTGTTCCATTTATTATAGAATGGCAAACCACAGAAAATGATTTCTGCATTATCAGTACATGCAGTATTTCAGGGAATAAGTAGTGAAAGACCAGAGGCATTTTCTGCTGACTTTATTGTCAGCAGTTTGTCTACCAGTAATAGGGAGAAAAATATCATTAAAAAACCTGATTTAAATTAGCTTTACTTTTTATCCCACATAAACAAATTAAGAAGTCACATCTCTGTTGGAAGGAGATATTGACTGTTCTCCCTTCCCAACACTGTTACATTCTATAATCAACAGGCATATTTACACTAAAAAACTCAAACCCCTTCTGTCATGTAGATGCAGAATAAGAAACAGCTCTGAAGTCCACTCCATTCTCTTCTATATTCCAGAACAGCTATAACAATAACTCTTATGCTTTCTTTAAAAGAGGTAGCAAACATCTTTACAGGTCAAATACTGTATGGGCTTCTCTTATATTACTACGGTGGATTTCTTTTTAGTCAGGATTTTCTCCACATCCAATCATATGAGAAATGGACTATTCTCCAACTTTTACTTCCTACAGCAGACATACAGGTTTCTTGATGTCAGGATGTAAATGAACAACACAAGGAAACAATACTCTGATTTCCCTTGCCATCATAAAAATGCTTCAAACCCAAGCACAGACAAGGAAGTGATACAGAACAAGTGATACAGAACCACATGGCAGTTATGCTTATTGATACTACTTCTAATGGTGGCTTATCAATATCCCATGATACTGTCAAAACCCCTGACTGGTACCACTTACTGATACTACTTCTAAGGGCAGCTTACCAATAGATATCCCATGATACTGTCAAAATCCCTGGCAGAAATGTCTGTGGTCTCCTACAGTACCTCTACATTCTGCCTACTCAGAAGACAGAAGTAAAGCACAGGTACAGAAAGCCATTACCTCGTCCTTGGCAACAGGGAGCTTGATTTCTGTAGGAGCTGGAAACAAAGTATCTTGAAAAGGAGGGACACATCCAAGTAAGACTGGCGAGCCATGAGCATGCAACACTGGAGACGGAACTGAAACTGAAGCTGGGAAGGAGCGTCTACCTTCTTCTGGCAAAGGCACTGCTTGGTTAACTACAGCTGTATCAGAATCATGGGAATGAATCCTCTGCCGTTTGGCATCATCTGGAACACGCTGTTGACTTTGTCTCCTAGAGAGAGAGACACTGTGTAATTCCTCTAGTTCACAAGCTCCAAGTTATGATTAAAAGACAGTTTCTACAAAGTTCAAATACTAATACTTAATGGCATAACTACTTCACTAAGCTCAAGTATGCTGTAGAAGAGGTGTGCCCATCCTAGGTACTATGTGAAACAAACCTGGAATCGGAAAAGAGAACATAAAATCGCAGAAATGAAACTACATTGTGAGAACCCCAGCCTTGTTTTGGGGCCACATGTGGTGGTGAAATTCCTCCTCCAACCCGTGCTTCCAAAGAAAAACTCCGCAGGCTTAGCTGTTCGGTCTCAAGGCAGTTTATTGCTAGTTATCTAACAGATTATGTTCTTGGACTGCAGCTATTTGATCAGTGGCCTGGGTAGAGGCACACACACCCTGACATCCTCTCTATCTGCTGTCTTCTTCGTCTCTCTCTCCGCCCAGGGCTGCTGCTATCTTTTATATGATATATTACGTATAACATGTTTACAATTATTCCCCAATACCTACTACCTACGTTGCCAAGTGTTTTTCTACTCTAAACCAATCTATGAGTGCCAACATCACCAAGAACATGGAGGTAAGGAAGAAGAAGGAAGAAGGATGGGTTCAGCCCACTTTCCTCCATCTTAGAACTTCTGACCCCCATGTACAAAGTAAAAACCCCCCTGTACATGCACTAAAACCCCCCTGTACAATACTAAAAAAATTTCCCCTCTACTTTGTAACTACTTTTACTATACTATCTAACCTTTTGTGACTGCTCGTTCCACCTCCAAAGTTGGTAATTCATTCCATGGCTCAAACTCAAAATCACAGTTGTTTTTCAGCTGTCTGCCAGGGTCTAGAATGCTTCTGACCAAGGCCTGGAACCTCTAAAAATGTCTGAGAGACATTTTGAGTTCCCACACTACATGAGAACTGGATTGATGTGATTCTTTAAGGCAAGTGTCTGCATTTAGCCAACTGAAATCTACATGACAAATTTGTTTAAGCTGACTACAAAACTCCCAGCATAGCACTATTTGTCATAGAACAGACTGCTCAAGAGGAAATTATGCAGGCAGCACGAAACCAGGAGCTTCCTTAGTCCATGGGATAATTACACACTCAGCTATAACTTAATAGCATTTATTTGATTGTGCTTATTTTTTCATGTTAGATTTGGTGGAGAAATAGCATTCAGGAGATAGTACTGAGGACACATAGAATCTCCTTCCAATCAGTTGATTCCCACAATTACTAGAAACATGTATCAGCTAGAATATCTGAACTAATAAAGAGAACAGGATTTTTTCTAAAGCATTAAAAGAAAATTAAACCTTACATTTATGCAAAATTTCCCTTTCTGTGGTAACTAAAATAACAAAGGTAGTAATGTAAATTCAAGTTAATAAAAAAAAGTACAAAACCTAGGTTTCCATAAAATCCTCTTTAAAAAAAAGAACTTACACATGCTTGAATTTAATACCTTGCATTTGAAAAATAATACATCACATAGTTAAGAAAAGGAAAAACAATGTGCCATCAGGAAAGCATGACAATTCCCATAAAATCTTGAGGGTGCACTCTTTATTTTTAACATGACAAATTAACAGGAAAAGAACATTCGTTGACACAAACCAGTTTAAAGTCAAGCCCACACAGACCACAATTCACTGCAGTAAATATATAAATCACTTAATCACTTCTGCAAGTCTACAGAGGCCAGTAGAGAAAATCTAGGAAGTCAGTTCTGAGTACTAAGATTCTCAAACAGATACAATGCTTTAAAGAGCTAATACATGGCCGGTTTCCATCAAAAAGAAAAAAGTATTCAGTACTGCAATTTCTAACATAACTGAAACTGCACAAAAAATTGGTATCAGAGGAACTTCACAACCACCATTACAACCACTATTAGTCACACACATTCAATGAACTTACTTTCTTCCTTGAAATGACGTCAGGACATCTGACGTAGACACTGGACTGCCACTTCTATAAGTCACTGGTTTAACAACTGGAGTAACAACTGGAGTAACTTCAATGCTCCCATTCAAAACAGCTCTAGAAAGACTACAGTCAGTAACAATATTCATAAGATAACCAAGATACTTTTCATGGGTTGGTAGTTGTTGTTAACTGAATATTAAATTCTACAAGTTCTGTCATTTGGGTTGTTTTTAGAAGGACTACGTCTTTCTTTTGTATTCAATATGAAGATATATTTCAGTTTATAATATGTATTTCATTAAAAACAGAAAATGCTCATTCTTGACAGCATATGTATAAGAAAGGGTTAGCAAACAAATTCATTTGAGGAACTTTTAAATTCAAAAGCCTAAACAACACTACAGTGTCTTCAAATACAAAATCAAGAATAAACGTTTCTTCTCCTTCTCATGTTCTTCCTGTTTTCCCCAATAAACAAATATGATTGAAGATCTTTAAAACTGAACTGTGGATTAACAATTCTGATCAGTGCAATTACATCTCATGTATTATTCATTGCAGGTGAGCATTTAGATTTGCAGGTCCATAAGATAAATTATATAGCTGTTTTTTATTTGCATGACATCTTCACATTTTGTGAAGTTCAGTGCAGTTCAATGTTATAGTGAAAACCATCCTCTATGAAGAGAAATATTTCTTTCAGACCCAACCCCTACTACCAAATCTTACTGTACTTACACTGCGCTGCGAAAATGAAACGTAGGAACGACAATTTGCTGGGGAGAAAGAAGAGTAGGAGGTATATTTACAGGAAGTTTAGTGAAGAAAGTACTCTGTTGTTGATATTTTGGAGGAAAGGGTGGACGACCCAAGTTGGAAGAATTTGGGAACATGCTCCTTTCTACTCGAAGTGAACATGTATCCTTTTATCTAAAAAAAAAAAAAACAAAAAAAACCACAGAAAGAAAGAAAAAAAAATAAACCAAAAAGAAATACCAGTTACCTTTTAAGGTCTTGGTTTAAAAATTCAACTAAGCTAGAATATACTTCCAGGAATTGCTTAAGCAGGTGATCACAGGACCTACTTTGAGTATTAGACACTGAATAAAAATACTGCACACTTTGAAATTTCATAATTACTGCTTACTTTATTTATGTTTAAAAGTGAATTTTTATATGACCCCCCCCTCAATCTTAAGTTTAATTTTAAAAAAATTCCACGTCACAAGACATAACAGTTTTCATTTCAGGGAAAAGTACCATGTACAGCAGTATTTGAATTTGTTTCGTATTTGAAACATTCCACAATGAGGTTCACAATATATGGAAAGAAACTCCTGAGTACATCATAAGAGCATGAAGGTGCAGCTAATCATGAACTACAAGTTAGGTCATGAAGTTAGTATTTTTTCACAACATGAAATGTAAAAAAAGCAGAAAAATTATTACACCAATTGCAACTAAGTTAATCATGCTTTATTATACATATATAGTACTATTTTACTGAACAGATTCTGTCACAGAAAAATATAGATTTACTATCTTTTTGACTAAAAATTCATTTTGGTACAACTAGCCAGATAGCTCCTACTGTCACTGCAGACAGCATTAGGACAGAGCATAAGAGAATTAAGAAGGAGTTTATATGGTTTGGGTTTGCTCCTTATTTCCTGTGATAAGAACCCACACTAGTTAATAGAAAATAGGTGCACATTGCTGTACTAGCTCTAAGAGAAAGCTATTACGGTTCTTATTTTTATTCCCCATTTGATGAGGTAGGTGAGGGGAAGCATTATGCATTATGAAAGTTACTCTTTGGATGTTCACTTTCAGTTCTCCTGAAGAAATCACATCATGTTGCATAACAAGTAAGTCACTTGACATTTAGTCTGGATGAGTATTTATGTGCTGTCCAAACTTTTCCATTTCCAGTAGACAGAACAACAGTTAACATGCCTCACTCCCCTCTGAGCAGATCAGGCAGCCTGCACAGCAAACCGTACAGATAAGCCGTTTATGGATACAACTAGCTAGTAACAGAACGATGAGCGAGAATTCAAGAGTTAGGCACAGAAGAAACACATGTTCGGTTTAGCCTTTGAAGCTGTAAACACCAAGAAGACCAGCAATGGAGGAGTTACCTTTCCGAAACCAAAACAATGCAGCAACACCGCTGTCTCACAACAGCGACAAGGACCTTTACCGTGATTTCCAGCACTGGTTACCTCGCCAGGAATTGACAGGCTCTTCTAAACAAGCTCCGTAACTTACAGTTCAGGGGTCTTTGTCCCTTTGAGCACTGTTTCTAAACAAGCACTTATCTCCCACAGAGCCAGACGAGTGAACGCGCAGGTAAGCACACGGAAGCACACGGAAGACACGGAAACACACGGAAACACACGGAAGCACACGGAAGCACACGGAAGCTCACGGAAGCACACGGAAGCACACGGAAGCACACGGAAGACACGGAAGCACACGGAAACACACGGAAGCACACGGAAACACACGGAAGCACACGGAAGCACACGGAAGCTCGCCAGCCTCCAGCCCCCATACTGGGAGAGGCGTCCGGGCCCGCTGCCACGCCCGGGGCCAGAGCCCGGCCCCCCCACGCCTCCCCCTGGCACACAGGACCCCCACAGGACACTCACGCAGGGTCTGAGCGGAGGCAGGCGGGGCGAGCCTGCGGGCAGCACTGCGCGGGGCGGGCAGCGGAGAGCAGTTTCCGCAGCCGAGCACCGTCCCGGTCTCCGGATGCAGGGACCCGCAGGAAGGAAGGGGCCGGCATGCGGCAGGAAGGGGCCGCGCCGCCGCAGGAAGCACCGCCCTCTCCCTCCCTCCCTCCCTCCCTCCTTCCCTCCCTCCCTCCCTCCTTCCCTCCCTCCCTCCCTCCTTCCCTCCCTCCCTCCCTCTCTCCCTCCGCTCCTGCGCGCTTCGCCGCCGCCTCCCGCCGCGGCCGCCCCCTAGCGGCGCGGCGGGACGCATGCGCGGGGCGGGCGCTTTCGTGAGGGGCGGGTGGGAGGTGGCGGCGGAGGCCGGTCCTGGCCGGGCTCGGGGCAGGCGCGGCGGTGCGGCCGGTTTTATTTCTGTAGTTACTGGCAGACTAGCTGTTTCTGAGTACTTCAGAAGTGTGTCTCCAAGATATTGTATTTGGCTAAATACTGGGATTTGGCCGACATGGATTATAAAATTAATCTGGGGTCACAAACATATTGAAATGCTTTGCGCCTGAAGGATGTCAGAAGCAAAATCATACAATCGTAAATGTTGGTAGAAAATTTTTAAGATCCCTGCAGTCAGTCCATCAACCATCCATCCAGCACTACCACTGTAATCCCTAAATTTACCACCCAGCACCACATCCAAACACCTCAAGGACATCTCAAGGTGATTCAATTACTTCCTTAGGCAATCTATTCCAATGCTTAACCACCCTAATAATAGAGAGGGAAAAAAATTAATATGTAATCTGAATCTCCCCTGTCAAAATTAAAGGCTATTTCCTGTAATCCTGCAGGCACCATAGGAAAGACCATCTCCCACCTGGCACCTTCCTTTCAGGGAGCTGTGAAAGTGATAAGGTGCCCCTTGAGCCTCCTCATCATGAGACTAAAGAAACTCAGCTCCCTTGTCTGTTCTTCACATGATGTATTTTCTAGTCCTTTCACCAGCTTTGTTGCCCATCACTTGACACACGCCATCACCGCAATGTCCTCTTTAATGTGATTCCTTCTTGAGGAGTACAGTGTGAGCTCTTGGCAGGAGCAGGTACAGAAACAGTGAGTTTGTGCGTGCATAGATACACTGCTGAAGCTCCCATGTTTGAGAGGGAAAGGGTAAGTTGAAAGCTTCCTGTGCTTCAAAATTCTTAGTGGAGGCTCGCTCAGCTGAGATCAGTCCACAGCTGGAGTTGTTCCTGTTTAAGGTTCTGGCTACTCTGAGATAGGCTTAACAGATAAGAAAGCAACAAAGTGGGACTGCAAATGGACTGGCAAGGGAAAGTCTGGGCTGTGAAAGGACTTCATTGTCTTGGCTATGACATGGAATTTTCCTATAAGGGTCTGTTTGTGGTTAGCATTACGTTTATGAGAGACAAATCCTAGTGGCATACTTGGAATGAAGATGTAAAGCAAAGTTCAGCCACAAAGAAATTTCTCATAAGAACTTTTTATTCTGGTGAGCAGACTGGGGGTGCTTGGGGGGTTGGGATGAGACACAGGTGGACAGTGATGGAAACTGACCAAAGGGATATTCCAGACCATCATGCCCAGGATATAAACTGGGGGGAAGAAGGAAGAACAGAGGGCATTTGGAATTACAATGTTTGTTTTCCTGAGTAACCATGACTTGTGATGGAGTCCAGCTCTGCTGGTTGAACACCTGCCTGTCCATGGGAAGCAGTGAATAAATTCCTTATTTTGCTTATTGTGCTTGCATGCACAGCTTTTGCTTTTTCTATTAAACTGTCTGTATCTCAAGCCATGTTTTCTAACTTTTGCGCTTCTGGTTCTGTCACAGATTTTGATAGTGGAGAAGTGAGGAAGTGGCTGTGTAGCGCTGGTTGCAAGACGGGATTAAACAATGACAATCTTTCTGCATTGTTTGTTTGGAGTCAAGACTTAACTTTCTACTTTCTGCTCAAGACTTAAACTTTGTGTCTTAACTATTAGAAATCTGTGATACAAGTCTTTATAGCTCCCCACCTGCCACATCCAAATTGCATTCTCTGGATCGTTTGACTGCTTTTCTCACCATGATCTATCCATTAACCAAAACATGTGCTGCTTCTAGGTTTCTCACATTTGCCATGAGGTCTATGACAAGTCTAACCTAACACAATCAGTATATTTGGCAGCAGGCAGTGTTTAGAGCAGGTTATTAAAAATCAACATCTTTTTATACAGCAAAAATGAAAAAAGAAAGAAAAAATAATTTAGAAATGCCTTGACTGATTGAAGTAACTTGTGTTGCTATGTATTTTCCTGGTTTCCTTTCCTCTGCTTCTTGGCAAAAGGCACACTGATTTTGTGTTTGCATCAATCGAGATACTGAATAACTTTTTTTTGGCACAGACTGTTAACTCTTAAGCATTTTTTTCCCATGTCTTGCCTGCATTCACTTGTCAACCTAGCTGCACATTTCAGTGAGGCACCTGAAATAACCTGACATTTTACAAATTGCCAACAGCCTTCTGAGACAAATCTCTGTGCTTTGATGTGCTGAGAGCTGTTCTATTTTTTTTCAATGTGTGCTGTCTTTCTTCCTGACCCTGACTGTGATCTTAGTTTATAGATACTCTTCTGTTAGAAAAGGCATACAAAACCTTATTTCTAGTTTTAGTCAGGAATTGGACTGTTGATCAACAGATACTCAACAACTATACAACAAAGAATTGGAGAACTTGCACTAGTGATTCCAACAGATCCCCCCAAACATTATGGTGTTAGGACTAGTCTTGTCTTTCTGCCTCAAAAGATGCTTGCATTAGAATAAAAAATGGTATATTTGTTGTAAAAGAACTATTTGTAAAATGAATTTATTTGAACAACAGCCATGAAACTGAGCGATCAATGAAGGAAATTTATGATCTGTAATAGAGGCAGAGTCTAAAGTCAGTTCTATAAACTACAAACTATACTTAGTTCTGATATGCAGGAAAGAGAGTGGTTTCCAGAAGTAATTGACAAAGAGATCTCTGATGAGCCATCTGCAATCTCTCTCATAGAATGAAAATCATTATGCAACATAAAAGTCCCTATTTAGTGCAACATAAAAGTCCTATTTAGTGCAATTTTCTGAAGCTTTTGGAGCCGAAGTGCTCTAGCTAGTTAGTCTCTGAAGGTAAATAGTGATGGAAAGTTTGATCAAAGCATCTCAATTGTCAGTAGTTCAAGAAGGAAAATATGAAGAATAAAAGTCAATTTCTCTATGGAAACCTTTGTTGAAGCTTTGAGAGTCTACAGACTTTTCTTTGCCTCTTGGTACTGTGGGAGGCCTATAGGAGTTCAGAGAGGTGTGTGGTTAGAATGTGCTTTACCATAGCAAACAGCCTCATTAAAGGACACCTATACTACTGCACTCGTTAACAGTGATGAATAACATGCATTTGTACACTCTGTCCCTACTCACTTATTTAACTTACTTCAAACATATTTTTTTGTTTCAAAACCACCTGTACTATATGCTAATTTATGATGTTGTTAGTCTCTGGGACCAGGTCTGAAATAATGAAACTTGTGTCAACACAGCTTCATTCAGAGTATCCCTTTTTCATGTTTGGTACTGAGACCAAGCATAGCACATATATTAAAATAAAAAATGTAGCTACAATGAAATAAATGTTATAACAGGGATTAATACAGTGCAGGATCCACTGTGAAGATTGAAGCTTCTTTATCATGATACCCATATGAAATGCTTTGAATTTCATTTAGAAATCAGGATATTCTGGGATTGAAGCCAAGCCAGAGACTTAGGTTTAAAACAAATTTTATGTACCAGGGAAAAAGCAGTTTTCCACAGGAAAACAATACAAGTTTTTAATAATAACACAAAAAACATTAAAAGTAAGTCCATCAACTGTTTAGCAAGAAAATAACGTTTAGCAAGAAAATAACGTTTAGCAAGAAAATACTGAATGAAAAATTAATAATTACACAAATGCAGTCTTGTTTCCCCACTGTGCAGCATTCTTGTACTGATGTTCAACCTTCAGCCAGATTCAGTGATGCCCTTATATGATTTCTTCAGTGCTTTTAAAGTATTTATTACATACACTATACTAATTTTATATGCATATAGGTATCACATAATATACAGTACAGAATTTATTAAATGTAATTAATATCATGGCTCCCAAATGAAAATGTGAGGTAACTCTGCAAGCATGTCAGTTAAATCTGTGAATTCCAACTTTAAATTTTTAAATCCAGTTAAAATAGAGATTTAATAAATCTAAAATGATTACTTATAGCAAAATATGTACTTATAGTTATCTTCATTTGGGATGACTATGTATGAATTATCCCTGTATCTTCTTCAGATGAGGATTTTGTAGTGCACCATTAGATTACTGTTTAATATGTGCTGTATGCATTTGATGAGAGTTAATGGTTATACATGGTTAATGCTCTGCTCTGGTTAGATTAATGAGTAATTGCTAGTAATTTTATTACTTCAGTCTTTGTTTCTGTAAATTTTGTAATTACACTCCTTTAAATACAAGTGTTTTAAATGAAGGTCTAAGTTTTCCTAAATTTTAATCTTTTCCCTTTTGCATAAGGAGTGACATGTCTTAAAACACAGGATCATGAATTTTGATTGAAAACAGTGGATAAAGCGAATTTATTCTGCACAACTCTACAAATCTGGGGTTTTTTTTCAGTTTTGTATTAGCC